AGTGGGAGGGAGAGAAGAAGATGTCAGCTTTCAGTTACTGCAGAGAGAGCCATACAGGGCATTGGTTCCAGTAATCCCCCCCCCCATACACCATACCGATCACCTTCCCTGCCCACATCTGATTTGCTCAGCTGCCTGGGCCCCCCAACTGGCCTGGGCCCCATAGAGTAGGACTGGTGGTACCCCCTTATCCACAACCCTGGCTATATCTGAACGGGGAAATTTCGATCAGTGTATGACTGGCATTAGCAATATTGGTTGACATTTAGCTTACTCAATGGCAAGTGGCAGCAGCAAAAAAAATGGAATCTATAAAAGGAGAAAAATACAAGATATGTTATAATATTATTTCCTATGTATAAGCTATTTATAAAGTGAGATACACAGTAGAATATTGGGTACAGTCAACAACACATTGAAAACAGAGGGTTCAAAAGCACATATCATTTAATCAAAGCAATTGAAATGTCATTGTATCTTACTCTGGAGTCTTGATCAGTTGAACTTAATGTCAATATCAAACAAACAGGTCCACTTGCAAAATGATTACAGTGTCTATTTTTATTATAAAAAACAACATCAAGATTTTGGAGAGGGTTAAAAAGAAGTAAAGATAATAAAGTGATAGAAGAAAAATAAAATATTTTCAATTTTGAGGTGTCATTCTGCCTCTCTTTGGAGTCATGAACAGATGAACTTGATAGACCCATAACACATATGGGTCTATGATGGCAACTTGCAGGTTGACAACTACCTAGGATTATTATGGACACAAGGCATATAACATAGGCATCAAGAAAAACCTTAACATGCTGTGCATGCTAAGGGTTTATTCATATCTTATGAATGAGCTCTTAATGTGCAAAATGTGTTAAGGTTGCATTTGATGTCTGTGTAATTTGTGCTTTCTGTTTTATAATAAATCTATTAATTTGTCAAGTTGTCATTCTGGGCCCATTTGTGTTATAGACGTGTTGTAGCAGGAACAGACAAGATCCAGAAACCAAAGTGCAGGCTGCAGAGAGAGTCTCTAAACTGGTCATCCTTGCAGCAGCAAGTGTTTAGATATATGTAGTTGATGACTTAAAATGGTTCTAAAAGCAGATTTGTTTTTTTACCTAAATGCATTCTGTGCATTAACGTAAAAAATCTTCTTCAAGCAGCCCCCCACAGCCCCCACCTTATACTTACCTGAGCCTCATCTCGATCCAGCAACGTGCACAAGAACAGAGGTTCTCTCAGCTCTCGCTCTCCTCATTGGCTCAATTACAGCAAGTGAACAGGGAGTGGGGGATGGGGCCGAGCCGTGCTCTGGGTGTCTTATGGACACACTGCGACAGTATTGAGCTTCATCCACACATATGATGTGTCTTTGTTTATTATACATATGGTGCTGTCCACAACTTATAAAGAAACATTGCCAGACCTGCATGGTTTTCAACATATCCCCATGTCCCCCCCATCTTTCCATCTGTCCTGTTACCCACAGCCAGACTCATAAGTAGTATTATAGAAAATGTTGTAACTGGCTTCCTGCATACTCTCACTTATCCCATGCCTAGATTTGCTGCAGGCACAATCACCATTGCCATTCACCATTGCTTGCCTTGTGATCCTCAGTCTAACTTTTCATTACATTTTGGATGACTAGTTTACTTAATTTGCATTTTCCTTCTCAAATTTAACCTGTTCAGATTTGAAGAAAAGCTTTTTCCTTCAAACCAGTTACAACAGAAACACTGCAAAAGACTAGTAAAGACGGAATGTTAAGATATAAAAGTTTAAGATGTAAAATATGAAAGTGGTGATAAAGGCAAAGAGTTTTTTTAACCCATTCTCTGTATTAAGGTAAAAAATCTTTCAATAGCAGCTTCCCACAGCCCCAAACACTTACCTGAGTCATCTTTCGATCCAGCGCTATTTCTTCTGCAGCAGCTGTTCTCCCCTCCTCCTTTATTCACAGGAGGTTCTGACAGCAGCAGGAGCGATTGGCTGCTTCTGCTATCAATTAAGTCCTGTGAGGAGGGAGCAGGGGGTGGGGCTGAGTCACCCTGTATGTGTGCAAGAAGGTACACACCCCAGCTCGGGAGTTTGTGTACTTAACCACTTGAGCTCCAGAGGATTTACCCCCCTTAATGACCAGGCCTCTTTTTGCTACTCGGCGCTGCACTAATTCAACTGATAATTGCGCGGTCATGCAATGCTGCACCCAAACAAAATTTACGTCCTTTTTTTCACACAAATAGAGCTTTCTTTCGGTGTAATTTGATCACCTGTGCACTTTTTATTTTTCATGCTATAAACAAAAAAAGCCAAAAATTTTGAAGAAAAACAATATTTTTTACTTTCAGCTATAAAAAATATATAGTAAACTCAAAGTTGGTTATAAATTTAGACCAAAATGTATTCTGCTACATGTTTTTGGTAAAAAAAATCCCAATGAGTGTATATTGATTGCTTTGTGTGGAAGTTATAGCGTCTACAAACTATGGTATAAATACTGCAATTTACGCCATTTTTCTGCTATACAGTGCTGCGCTAGTTTAACGGACAATTGCGCGGTCATGCAATACGGTACGTAAATGAAATTTACATCCTTTTTCCCCACAAATTGAGCTTTCTTTTGGTGGTATTTGATTGCCTGTGCGGTTTTTATTTTTTGCGCTATAAAAAAAAAGGCTGACAATTTTGAGGAAAAAAAACAATATTTTGGACTTTTTGCTATAAAACATGTCCAGTAAAAAAAAATGCAAAAATCAAATTTAGTCATAAATTTCTGCCAAAATGCATTTTGCGTCATGTCTTTGCTAAAAAAAAAAAACAATAAGTGTAAATTAATTGGTTTACGTGAAAGTTATAGCGTTTACAAATGGGATACTGGGATTTTTAGGTTTTTTTTTACTAATAATGGTGGCGATCAGCAAATTATGGCGGTGATCAGTGACTTATGGCAGCGACCAGCGACTTACGGCGGGACTGTGGGACTGCGGCGGACATTCTGACATTGGGGGGTACTGACTTGGGGTCACTGACATCCCCAGAAACACTAATACAGTGATCAGTGCAAAAAAAAAAAAACACTGACACTGTACTAATGGCACTGGGGAGGAAGGGGTTAACTTTATTTTGCAGGGAAGGGTTTTCTGAGTGAGGGGGGACGGGGGGGGGGTGCTGGGCGGGACAAGGCTGATCGAGAGAGAGAAACTCTTCTTTCTCGATCAGCTCATCCTCGAGCTGTCAGGGAAGTGACAGACAGCTCAGCTACTGCAGCTGTGCTGTCTGTCACTGTTTGCCGCCGATCGCCGGGAAACAGCCGGTAAAGACCGGCTGTGACCGGGCGACTGACATCCGCGGCGGTGATCGGTGGGACAGATAGGGCGGTGGAGCGCCTCACGCGCGCCCCCTATCTGTTTACAAAACACGCGTTTTAAAACGTGGTTTTGCCTGCCAGTGCCACCCTACCGCTGTATTTCTACAGTGGCAGGGCGGCAAGTGGTTAAATGTTTTTTTTACATAGGTAACACTAATTTGTTGTAACAAGTCAGACACAAAAGAAAGGGCAAGCCTTTCTCCTAAATGTGTGAACTGTGTAACAACAATTGTGTGGCTACACACACTAAAGCTAGCCAGACACAGTTTTTTTTAATCTAGCCAGCAGGCTTCACAAATGTAGTGGATGGAGAAACCCCCTCCTTTGGGACATTGTGCTCTGACAGCTGGAATACACTGATCAGTACCTGCAACCAATTGGCTGCAGCAGCTGATCAGCAAAAGTTTTCCAGCAGATGATCAAACGATCAAGGTCTGTCGAGCTGAACCGCTGAATTTCAATCAGTGCATGGCCAGCTTTAGATGTGTACTTCATTTATTTTTTTATAATGATAATAAAAAGTAACATCAAACTCTGTAAATTGTAACAGGCCAACTTGCCTGCCTGTTCTATTATGGCATAAATGCTATGGGATACGCCTCAGAGCACACGGCAAAAACAGTTATGGCCATATTATGCTGACCAGGCAGCACGGGTTCTCAATTCCTGCTCTAATATGCTGACAATTTTGTATAATAAGACCCACAGCACAAAGCAATGATAATAAGTAAAGGTAGTTAGCAACCATAATAGAAATTATGCAGTTAAGCAGATTTGCTGCCCAATGCCTGGTCTAATATGCTGCAATTGCAATGCAGCAGAATAAGCCCCACATGCACAAAGCAATTAAAAATGAGCAGGTAAGATAGTTTATGCCTTAATATGCAGCAAAAGCAGGACTGGTTCAATGCCTGGTCTAATATGCTGCAAATGCAGATGTAGTAGAATAACACCCTCTGCACAAAGCAATGATGATAAACAGTAAAAGGTAGTTTATGGCTATGTTATACTGGCAATACCTGGTTTAACCACTTGCCTACCGGGCACTTATACCCCCTTCTTTACCAGGCCAATTTTCAGCTTTCAGCACTGTCGCACTTTGACAATTGCGCGGTCATGCAAGATTGTACCCATATGAAATTTTTATAATTTTTTTCTCACAAATAGAGCTTTCTTTTGGTGGTATTTAACTGCCGCTGGGCACTTTACTTTTTGCACGATAAACAAAAAAAAGTGCAAACAATTTGAAAAAAAAAAAAAAGTTGTTTCTATTATAAAATTTTTCAAACAGGTAATTTTTCTCTTTCACTGATGTGCGTTGATGAGGCAGCACTGATGGGCACTAATAGGCAGCACTGATGGGCACTGATAGGCAGCACTGATGGGCACTGATAGGCAGCACTGATACGCAGCACTCATAGGCAGCACTAATGAGGTGGCACGGATAGACAGCACTGATAGATGGCACTGATAGACAGCACTGATAGGTGGCACTGACTGGCATCACTGCTGGGCACTGACTGGCGGCACTGCTAGGCATTGACTGGCGCAACTGCTGGGCACTGACTGGCACAACCGCTGGGCACTGACTGGTGGCACTGACTGGCAGCACTGCTGGGCTGCACTGATGGGCACTGGTAGGTGGCACTGGTGGGCACAGGTGGGTGGCACTGGTGGGCACAGGTGGTTGGGCACAGGTGGGTGGCACTGCTGGGCACAGGTAGGTGACACTTCTGGGCACAGGTGTGTGGCACTGCTGGGTGGCACAGGTGGGTGCACTGCTGGACACAGGAGGGTGCACAGGTGGGCGCACTGCTGGGCACAGGTGGGCGCACTGCTGGGCACAGGTGGGCGGAATTGGTGGGTGGCACTGCAGGGCACCGATCATCAGGGCACTGATCATCAGTGCCCTGATGATCGGTGCCAATCCCTGCTCTGACAACTGCCGGTTCTCGGCAGTACTTTCCTCACGCTCTGACAGCGTGAAGAAAGTGCAGCCGAGAACCGGCAATTGCATTTCCCGGTGATCAGCGTGTCATTGGACACGGCTGATCAGGTGGTAAAAGGCCGCTGTGATTGGCCTTTTACCACATCACGTGATTAGCTGTGTCCGTAGGACGCAGCGATCATGGAGATCGCCGGGTGCGTGCCCCCAGGGGCGCGCAGGAGAGCTCGTTTTGGGAGGACGTCATATGACGAACCTCCCAGAACTGGCCGGCCGCAGTGTAGCCGTCATTCTGCTATCTGCAGTTGGCAAGTAGTTAATATGCTACAACTGCAAATAAGCCCCACAGCACCCATACAGTACTAATTCCTGCCTGTACTAATTTCCTGAAAATACTGTAGACTATAAAGCAGCAGTAGAAAATAGTTATCCTACGTCAGCCCCCCCACCTCACCAAACCTTAGGGGTCGATTTACTAAAACTAGAGAGTGCAAAATCTGGTGAAACTGTGCATGGTAATAAATCAGCTTCTAATTTCAGTTTGTTCAAGTACCCTCCCTGACGGTATTCCCGAGTGTAGCTCTGGGTAAGGTTTCAGTCCCAAAAGCAGTAACCCCGAGCTACACTCGGGCTTACCATGCGGCGCTGCTCCGGCATCTGTTCTTCACTTACTGCGCTCCCCGCGATGTCCCTCCTGCAGTGTCCCCTGTAATGTACTCCGGCGGATGCCGGCGTCTGTCATCTGGGTTCCGTTCCCTGCGAGCGTCGGGACGTACGGGGGACGGAACGGCGGGAAATTTGAAAATGACAAAAAGTGACATTCAAAAATACACTAAAATCACATAGTAAAACATTACTGTATCAAACCATTTCACATACATTTTGTCCCTACTGCTTTGTCCTGTGCCCTGCCTGCATTTTTACTGTTCTTATTGCCTGGTAATTGAGAAACGTCCGTGGCGTTCAAAAAGCGTCCCTTTAGGTCAAAATCGGTTTTAGACCAGCTAGAGAACAGCGATAGTAAATTAGAACCACTTGCAGAATTGAGTGATAATGATTCGTGGGGAAATTCGTCATCAGACACTGAAAACAATTTTGCGACTTTGCTCAGCAATGTACGCTATATTTCAAATTTCAGTGTTTTTGGTTTGATTATATTATTGAATTAAATTTATTATTATTTATATTATTATTTTTTTATGATTATTTATTAAATTATAATTTATGATTTCGTGTTGTTTTCAAATTTTAACATACCCGGGATGTTTACTAGACTCTTGTTCGGGCAGATTTCAGTGAGTTATTCCTAAAATTATAGGCCTACAATAAAAAAAATACATATTTCCATGCAAAAAAGTGTACCGCACTTTGAGCACAGAAATATGGACATAATCAGACCGCTAGGGAGGTTAAAGTGATTCTAAAGGCTTATTTTATTAATTTTTTTTAATAACAAACATGTCTATACTTACCTTCTGTGTGCAGTGGTTTTGCACAGAGAAACCCAGATCCTCCTCTTCTCAGGTCCCAAATAGGCTCTCCTAGCCCCTCTCTCCTGTCGGGTGCCCCCCCACAGAAAGCAGCTTGCTATGGGGGCACCTGCTGCTCCATGTGTCTATTCACAGGCCCTGCCCCCTCATTCTTCTCATAGGCTCACTGGCTGTGATTGACACCAATAGGTCCCACTTCTGTCTCAGCCAATGAGAAGAGAGAGTCCCGGGATAGCTGAGACTCCAGTGCACATTGCTGGATCAAAAGGGGACTTAAGTGAGTATTAGGGGGGCTGGGGGGGATGCTGCACACAGGAACGTTTTTTATCTTTATGCATAGAATGCATGAAGGTAAAAAAAAATCTTGAGCCTTTACAACCGCTTTAAGTTTTGATAATGAAAAAAACAATGGAAGCTGGTTTCTCTGCAGTGCTGCTCCAGATTTTGCACACTCCATTTTTAGTAAATCAACCCCATAGTGCCTGGAGTTCATGTGAGAAGACATGTTTCTCTGCCCGCATAGGGGTTGATTTATGGAAACTGGAGAGGGCAAAATCTGGTACAACTCTGCAGTGGAACCAATCAGCTTCCAGGATTTATTGTCAAAGCTTAATTGAACAGTCTAAAGTTAGAAGCTGATTGGCTACCATGCACAGCTGCACCAGATTTCGTGATCTGCAGCAATGTGCAATTAAACCCCACTGAACTCTACATTGCCGCTCATCCCTGATCACTAATTGGCTGAGCTGGGGACCTGGGACTTTTTGTGGGATAGTCTGTGAAATTTTCCCATGAACATTGTGGTTGTTCATTTCAGTGTTCCCAAATTGAACATGTAGTATTTGGGGAGAATTGTGCTTTCCCATGAACAGCGATACCAATTACCATGCAAGAATTCTAGTTATGTCATAATAAATCAGAAAAACATTGCTCTGCAAACATGAGGTGCTCTGTCTGTTTGTCTGTCTGTCTGTTGGTCTGTTTGTCTGTCTAGCTAGCTAATATCTTATTATCAGTCCTACTATTATGTGGCTTTTCAGTACACTGAAGATATTCAGAGGAAGAAAGGGAGAGAGAAATGAATACAGCAGGCACTGCCAGGCTAACTATTCTGTTACATTGTGATTTTGAAAAGACATTGGTAGGGATGACAGGTTTACTGAAGGCATGAACAATACATCGTTAAATAAATCGTTACCATTCTGGCCTTCTTTTATTCATTTTACCATTAAAAATATTTTGTCGGTGTAATATTACTGCCCTCCAGTGGGAAAAATTACAAAATGCAACGCTTTCTCCGACTTTATTCCAGCTGAAGAACTGCCATAGGTTTGAACAGTAACTATTTTCTAAAATACTGCACCTGAACTATATAGTGCTTATGCTTTTGTTTTCCACTAATAATTTCCCAACACACATGAATATGTCTAGTCTTAGAAAAGTACATTTGTACATTGGACTGGATGGATCTGTGTTTTCTATCCTTATCCCCCACTATGTAGCTATATAAACCTACTAATTAAGCAACAATTTTGTTGTTACTATTGATTAAGGATGGGTGAATCTGCCCCGGCTTGATTCACAAGTGGTGGTTTCTGTAAAAAAAATTAACAGAACCCAAATTTAGCAGTGAATCAAACTGAATTCTATTGGGAAATGTGGGGTGTATGAGTCTTGTTTTGAAGATGCTGGCCATTTTAGGGCTAATAGATATGGCTTTTTAAAGGAAATTCTCAGCCACTGTGCACTTTTGTAGCATATTTTTAGCATTAAAAAAATACATTTAAGAGGACTTTGACAGCATAATATTTCTCCTCCTAAACCCTCAGCAGCCAATTGTATTTTTTTATTAATTAATAATTAATTTCACTATTGAAAATCTATATTGCCAAACGTATTGGGACACCTGCCTTTACATGCACATGAACTTTAACCTCCCTGGAGGTATTCCCAAGTGTAGCTCGGGGTAAAGTTTCAGCACCACAAGCGGTAACCCCGAGCTACGCTCAGGAATACCTTGCAGCACTGCTCCAGGATCTCTTCTTCACTTACCTTGTCCTGCGCTCCCGCGATGTCCCACCTGCAGTGTCCCCGGCAATGTCCTCTGGCCAATGCCGGCATCTGTCTTCCGGGTTCCGTTCCCTGTGATGTCAGGACGTACGGGGATGGAACTGGCGGGAAATTTGAAAACTTTAAAAGTGACATTCACTAAATTCACTAAAATCACATAGTACAACATTACTGTATCAAACCATTTCACATACATTTTGTCCCTAGTGCTTTGTCCTGTGCCCTGCCTGCATGTTTACTGTTTTTTCTGCCTGGAAACTGAGAAATGTCCATGGCGTCCAAAAAACGTCCCTTTAGGTCAAAAGCAGTTTTAGACCAACTAGACAACAGCTACAGTAAATTAGAACCACTTGCAGAATTGAGTGATAATGATTCCTGGTGAAATTCATCATCAGACACTGAAAACGAATTTGCGACTAAGATCAGTGATGTGCGAACATGGCTCTATATTTCAAATTTCAGTGTTTTTGGTTTGATATTATTGAATTAAATTTATTATTATATTATTCATTTTTATGATTATTTTCTAAATTATAATTTATGATTTTGTGTTTCAAATTTTAACATACCCAGAATGTTTACTAGACTCTTGTTCGGGCAGATTTCAGTGAGTTATTCCTAAAAATTACAGGCCTACGATAAAAAAAATACATATTTCCATGCAAAAAAAATGTACCACTTTGAGCACAGAAATATGGACATAATCAGACAGCTAGGGAGGCTACTGGCATCCCCAGTCTTATTCCGTAGGGTTCAATAGGGAGTTGGCCCACCCTTTGCAACTATAACAGCTTAAACTCTTCTGGGAAGGCTGTCCACAAGATTTAGGAGTATGTCTATGGGAATGTTTGAATATTCTTCCAGAAGCGCATTTGTGAGGTCAGGCACTGATGTCGGACGAGAAGGCCTGGCTTGCAGTCTCCACTCTAATTCATCCTAAAGGTGTTCTATTGGGTTTAGGTGCAGACCAGTCAATTTCCTCTACCCCAAACTGGCTCATCCATGTCTTTATGGACCTTGCTTTGTGCACTGGTGCGCAGTCATGTTGGAACAGGAAGGCGCCATCCCAGGGGCAGACTGACCATTCGGGCACTCGGGCAGTGCCCAAGGGCCCGGGGTCAGTAGGGGGCCCCATGAGATGCCCCTGGTACCTTTCATAGGCTTTTTTGAGTGGGGGTGAGAACACAGGGGCCCCATGATCCCCTATTGCCCGGGGGCCACATGAGTTGTCAGTCCACCCCTGTGCCATCCCCAAACTGTTCCCACAAAATTGTCCAAAATGTCTTAGTATGCTGATGCCTTAAGGGTTCCCTTCGCTGGAACTAAGGGGCTAAACCCAACCCCTGAAAAACAACCCCACATCATAGTCCTATCTCCACCAAACTTTACACTTGTCACAATGCAGTCAGGTAAGTACCGTTCTCCTGGCAATCACCAAACCCAGATATGTCCATTGTATTGCCAGACTGAGAAGCGTGATTCGCCACTCCAAAGAACACGTCTTCCCCTGCC